GTGCAGCACGTGGTGCACGCCGCCGTGGCTGTAGTGGCTGCGGCTGTGCTCCACGCCGCCGCTGCTGCTGCTGCCGCCCGACACGGGGGACAGCTGGTGGCCGGAGGAGGCGGTGTCCACGAGCACGGCGGGGGCGGAGTGGCGCAGCGGCATCGCGGCGCCGCCCTCAAAGGGCAGCTTCTGGGGCGTGGAGGGGCCGGCGGCGCTGGGGGGCCGCGCCGGCGCGGCCAGCCTGCGGCGCTGCGCCTGCGCCTGCTGCTGCTGCAGCTTGCGGGCGGCGGAGGAGGGCGCCGAGGGGCCCAGCTCCGCCTGGCTGCCCGCCGACTGCTTCTGCGGGCGGCGCCGCGGCTTGGGCGCGGCCGCGGCGGCCGCGGCGGCGGCCGCCTGCCGCGCCGCCGCCTGCTGCAGCTGGGCCGCCTGCCGCGCCTGCTGCAGCGGCGCGGTGGCGCTGGGCGCGGGCAGGCTCGGCGGCAGCGCCTCGCCGCCGCTGGCTGCCGCCTGGCGCTGCATCTCCGCGGCCACCTTGATGCGGTGCTTCTGCAGGTGGCTCTTGACCTGGATGGTGGTCAGCTGGGTGGAGTAGGCGCCCATCTTCTGAAGGATGGCCTTGGGCTTGGCCTCCTGCAGGCGGAGCAGGCGGGCGGGAGGGGGCGGGGAGGCAGCAGCGCGCAGGGGTCAGGCACAGGTGGGTGGAGGTTGGGAGGCTGTGGGCTGCGGCCGGGGGCCCGCGAGCACCAGCACCAGCAGCGGCGGGGGCTCAGCAGGGGCAGGGGGCAGGCCTGGACGGCCGCCCGCAAACGCGGCCGCGGCTGGGGCGCAGGCGCCGGGGCAGGCAGCAGGGGCCCTGGGCCCGCCCCAGAGCCTGTTTCGCAGGTAGCGGGCTCCAGTGGCTGCCAGCACCCCTCCCTGCCAGGGTTGCACCCGCGATCTGCGGGCCCGACTTCGAATTCAAGCCGGCCCCTCCCGTCCCTCGCACGCCCTACCCAACAACACAGGCACGGCAGGCGGGGAGGCGCCCTCGACAGCTGCCCAAAACGATGCTAGGCGGCTGGGAGGGGCCTCCCGCCTTCCGAGGGCAGGGGAGGGGCCACATGTGGGTGCCATGCCAGATCCCAGGCGCCCCAGGCCTCTCCCCGCCTTGCAGCGCCCTGGCAGCCAGTAACAGCAGCGTGGGCTCACCCAGACGCCTCCCGCCTGCTGCAGAGCCTTCAGAAACCGGGCCTCCAGGCTCCCCTTCCAAGATATCGCGCACCGCCCTCTCCCTGCAGATTGGCGGGCAATCGAGGGGTGTCAGGCCCAGATGCTGTTCCCCGAGCGCGACCAGGGCGAGGGGAGGCGGCCCCAGGGCTCCCCCCCAAATGCGCGCTCCCTTGCATGGCGCCTGCGGCCCGCCCCCGCCCTCCTCCCCGCCCCAACCCCTCCCCAGCCAGGCCCATCTGCTCACGTGAGTCGTCGTCGCTGCTGCAGTCCGCCTCCAGCTCCACAACATCTTGCGAATCCGACAGGGGCTCCTCCTCCGACTCCACCTGGCCCCAAGCCTGCCTAGACCGCTTCCCCCTGAGCGCCATCTTGTCCATGATGTTCCCCTACCCCAGGCAGTGTGGAGTGCGCACTGGGAGGGCCAGAGAAGAGGTGGCGAGGGTGTACTTCAGGCGCAGTACGGAATGCACTTGATGCTCAAAATCACCCGCCCTCAGCCGCATCGTAGCCCGAGAGCGGCGCCCGTGCACATCAGCCGTCCCCTCGCCCGCTGGAAACTGTGAGCGCTCCGATTTCACATTGCTGGTGGGAGGGGGTTGGAGCCCGTTCAGGGGTCGTTGGGACCAGCCCGGCAGCGCATGCCGTGTTGAGCAGCGTTGACGCAGATCATCGCCGCCTGGCTGCGCCTGTGGTGCCCCGCAGGCGGCATGGCGGCAACGCAGCGACATGAAGTTCCTTTTGCTGGTGGGTGGGGGCTGGCAGTGAGCGGGGTGGGAGGAGCCAGCAAGCAGGTGGATGGCAAGTGTGTGGCCCCCCCTGCATGAGCTTGCCTTCCCAAACCCCGCATGAGCTGCCGAACCGTCAGGGCCGCCACACTCCCCCCCACTGCTCCCCTTCACTCTATCGAGCAGAGCATCGAGTTCAACGCCGGCACTTTCTCCGGCAATGGCGTCTACGCCTGCAGCCAGGTAGCGCACAGTTTTGGGAGTCAGACGCTGGGCCGCCCTGCCATCCAGAGCTGCCTGCCGTCTGCTTGCCACTCGCCCGCCGTCGCTGCGCTGCCGCCGACTTCGCCGTGATGCCTGCCTGCCCTGCCTGCCTGCAGGCGAGAGCCCTGTCCCAGCTGGGTCATGAGGTGCTGGTCATCGCGGGCGCGCCGCCTGGCCACAGCAGCGCCGCGGCCGCTCCCGAGGACGGCGGCAATGGCGGCGCCGGCATGCAGCGCGTGGTGCACGTGAGCTGGCCAGCGACATGGGGCCTGCAGGAGCAGCTATTCATTTGCTGTTTTGCCAGAGATGGTGAACAGCTGAGGCCCGGCTCCACCCCAGCCTGCTCCCACCCAACCAGCCGCTGCCCCACCCGCCCTGCGCCCAGTTTGAGCTGCCGGTGTGGGGGCGCCTCGACGCGGGCTGCGGCTGGCGCGAGTACGCGGCGTGCGCCGGCGTCCCGACCGTGGCGGCCCAGGTGGCCGCCTTTGGCGCGGCCGCAGCGCTGGGCGTGGACTGGCACAGCGTGGGCGCGTATGACGCGCTGGCGGCGGCGCTGCCGGCGGCCGCGCTGCCGCCCTTTGTTTACCTAAACTACAGGTAGGCCAGCTGAGCGGTGGGGTGGGGGGGGGGTCTCTGAGCGGGCTGGGCGGGCCGAAGGGGGCGGAGGCATGAAGGGAGCAGCATTGCAAGGGGTCCATGCCTGCCATGCCTCTGCCTCCTCCCTTTCCCCGCCAGCCAAGCATAGGGCCGTGATGCCGCCGCCTGCCACCCGCAGGGTGTACCACCGCACCGCCAGCGCCGAGGAGCTGGCTGTGATAGAGGGGCGGGAGCAGCGCGCGCTGCGCCTCTCCCGCTGCTCCATGGTGCTCAGCCGCAGCGATGCCGACTACCTGCGCCGCCACTTCCCCGCCGCCACCGCCGCCGCCGCGCCGCTGCACGTGCTGCTGCCCGCGCTGCGGTCCGACATGGAGCGCCTGCCTGCGCCAGGGCTTGGGGCTGAATCCGAGGAGGCGGGCGGCGGCGGCGGGCTGGCCTGGGCGACGGGGCGCCGCCACCTGGCCTGCTGCGTGCGGCTGTCGCCCGAGAAGGAGCCCCACCGCTTTGTGGAGGTGGTGGAGGTGATGGCGGCGCGGGGCAGCCTGGAGCGGCTGGGCGTGGTGCCCGCCATGTGCGGCGCGGGCTGGAACTCGCCCTATGGTGCAGACCTGCGCCGCCGCCTGCAGCAGAACGTGCCCCAGGTGTGTGTGTGTGTGTCTGTGTGTGTGTGTGTGTGTCTGTGTGTGTGTGTGTGTGTTGTGGGGTGCCCTGAGGGCATGCCATGCATGTGCACAGTCAAGGCGAGCAGCGGTGCAGTGCAAGCTGATGTGCAGTGCAAGGATCGCTGCGTGTGCCTGCCATCTGGCCTGGCTCTGCCGCAACACGTGCACACCCCTGGCCGCAGTGCGTGGTGCACGACTCCTTCATGGGGCCAGGCGATCTGGCGCAGCTGTATGCCGCCACCCTGCTCAACCTGCACCCGCCCACGTGAGCGCGCCGCTGGCCGAGGCGGGGGAGGCGTGGAGGCAGGCGGCAGCTGTATGCTGTCACACGGGCTTGTGTCGGTGGCCCATGCATGTGTGCCACATGCACGCGTGCCAACCCTGCTGCATGCGCTCGCTGCCCTCCACTGCCCTGCAGGTACGATGCCTATGGTGAGTCAGCATCCTTCCCCTTGCTGTGTTGGTACCGCTCCTTGCGCCACCTGCCGTACCACCCACTCCCGGGTGCCTGCCAGCAACTGTGACTGAGCATGCGGCTCTGCCCCTGTATGCTGCTGCAGGTATGACGATAGTGGAGGCAGCCTCCCAGGGTGAGGCAGGGCAGTCCAGGGTGCCGCACCCATGAGCGGCTGCCTGTGGGGGCTGGGGCTGTGACCCATGCTGCGAGGCCCGCGTGCCTTTGCCCTGCCCCTTGCCTGCCCTGCCGCATGCCCTGCCGCATGTCCATCGCTGTGCCCTGCCTGCCTGAGGCGCCGCGGCCGCATGCTGCTGCAGGCGCACCCAGCCTGGTGCAGGAGGGCGGGCATGTGGGGGCCACCGACCTGCTCAGCAGCCAGGCGGGGGAGGTGTTCCTGTGCGACATGGAGCAGCCTGTGGGCCAGGTGCGCCACGTGCACGTGCGCCGCATGTGACGCTGCCCGGCAGCCGATGCCTTGCTGGCGGCGGTGGCGGGGCTGGCGGACCTCGCTGCCTGCCTGCCTGGCAGGATGCCTGCACGGCAGGGCATTGGAGCCGTGCCTGCTTTCCCGTGCCTGCTCGATACAACAGCAACGACCAGGTGACCCGCCAACCAGCCAGCCAGCCCTCCACCGCATCACCGTGCCCTCCCCTCCGCAGCTGGCGGATCTTGTGGAGGCGCTGCTGGCAGACCGGGCGCGGCTGGCGGCGGCGGGCCGCCTGGCGCAGGCCAAGGCGCGCAGCTGGACGGAGCACGACAACGCCCAGGCCTTGGTGCAGCACGTGCAGGAGGCGCTGGCCGGCGGCGAGGCGGCGCCGGCGCCGGCAGCGGAAGCGGCTGGCGGGGAGCAGGCGGCGGTCGAGGTGGCAGCCTGAGGGTGGCATGGGAGCTTCCTTGAAGCGGTTTTGCTGATGCCCGAGGTGGTGATCGTTGTGTTGCGCACTGTGTTGATTTCCTGGACTGGATTCCTGACCTATGTTTTTGCCCGGCATTCAGTGGAAATGCTGCTCCGCTGCACGGGCCCGGCCAGGATGGGCAGCCGGTATCCAAGGATGCGGCAACACATGATGCCGCGTGGCGTGTGCTTGCTTGTGCGCTGCCCCGGGTTTCCTGACAGTGTAGACCCAGCAACGGCTGTCAACATCAACATGACAGGGGCTGTGCAACAGGCAGCCAGGAGGTGGCGGCCGGCATGCGGGCGACGCCAACAGCGGCAGAGGAGTTCAGAAGCTCTGGGTCCATGTGGTGCTGGTTTCAATGTGGGCAGCCGACAGCGCCTTGCGCGCGGGCGCAGTCATGGCATCTTCACGCACCCCCAGCACCTGCCAGGGAGGCAGGGAGGGAGCAGGGTGGGCGCCTGGCTGGCACTGGTGCCGTTGCCGCCTGCAACGCACGGCCAGCGGGCTGCCATGCATGCCCCACCAGGAGCAGCGTCCGCACCTTGAGGCCCGGGGCCTGCGCCAGCAGGTGCCGCACGGCGCTGAGAGGCAGCTTGGAGTTGTCTGCCCAGATGACGTGCCGCAGGAGAGGGAAGGCAGGCAGCGTCTGCATGAGGGCAGCCGAGCGCGGGGCGCAGCCGTCGGCGCACAGCTCCTGCAGGCTGGCCGTGTAGGGGCCCTCTGGGAAGCTGCAGGCAGGCAGGCGGGGCGGCAGGGAGCTGGGCGTCGGCATGCGGGCGCTCGCTGGCCCCAGCGCAGCAGCTGCGTGAGTGGGCATTGGTGCGCTGTGCGCTGCGCTGCCTGCCGACCTGGTCAGCTGGGACTTGCTCAAGTTGAGGTATGTGAGGTGCTGGAGCTGCCAGACAGCAGCAGGCAGCGGCGTCGCATGCTGCGTGGGCACCCGCAGGTGGCGCAGCGACAGGCGCCGCAGGCGGGGCGCCGCGGACAGCACGCCAATGTCAGACGGCTGGAAGTGCCAGCCATCCTCGACGTAAAGCTCCTGCGGGCCGGAATGGCGCTGTCAGGGCATGTGCAGGTCCCCAGCACAAGACATCTGCAGCGGCGGGGCCAGCAGCTTGGGAGGCCACAGCAGCAGTACAGAGCACCAGGCTGCCAGGTGCCCACCTGCAGGTTTGCAAGGTACGGTCCGGCAGCGAGGCCTCCAAAGCTGGGTCCCACCAGGAGCCTGGTGAGGCTGGTAAGGCCCAGAAACGCCTGCACAGTCTTGCAGCACACACTCCTGAGCTCTCAAGCAGGCGTGCCAGGCCCTGGGCAGGCGCCTCGGCTGGCTGCTAGGCGCTGCCCCACGCACACCTGCGGCATCTGTCGCACAAAGTAGTTGCCCCGAAGATCCAGCTCCTCCAGCTGCCTCAGCGCAGACAGGGCCAGCGGCACGCCCTGCGGGTGCTGCTGCTCGACGCCAAACTCATCGCCAAACGCATCCACAGGCGCGTCGATGTTGTTGCCCGCCAGCAGCAGCGTCCGCAGCGAGGTGAAGTGCTGCGGCCAGATGGATGGATGCGGCAATGGCACGCTGTGGGCGCGCAGCGCGCGGCACCACCGGCATGCAAGCAAAGCGAGCATCTTGATGCAAGCAAGGCACACGCTGGCGTGAGCGGCGGGCGGGGGCCCTCACCTGCAACACGTCTGGCACCTGCGCCAGACTCTCCTCGCAGCTGCTCAAGTCGAGGCGGGCCAGGCTGGTCAGCGTGCTCCAGCCCTCCACCCCTTCAAAAGAAGTAAACACGTTGTGTGCCAGGTCGAGCGCCGTCAGGCGGGTCAGGGCAGAGAGGCTGCCTGGGGCTGCGGGCAGGGTGGGGAGGCAGGGATGCAGGTCAGCGGCCCACACAGTACCGACCCCGAGAAACGCCTGCAAGCCGCCTCCTGCACATGTGTGCCATGGCTGCCTCCTGCGCCGGCCGGCAGCGCGCGTGCCCACCCGCGCCGAAGGCTGCGTGGTGGAGCGCCAGGCTACGCAGGTTAGTGAGGCGCGACAGCTCCCCCATGCCCTCCACGCCGCCCAGGTGCTCCGCAAAGCCCTGGCACACCCCGATCTCCAGCGAGGTGAGGCAGGGGAGGGTGGTCAGCGCCTGGGGCAGCTCGGGCAGGTGGCAGTCGCAGATGGTGAGCTCCCGCAGCGGCGAGGGCCCCAGCGGCACCAGCGCATCCATCCACGGCACTTCGCAGGTGAAGGTGTAGCGCAGGCGCTGCAGGCCGGTCTCCGCCAGGGTGGCTGCCAGCGCGCAGATCAGCGGCATGAGGCACAGGTTGCCCTCCAGGCTCTCGTTGCCGGGGAAGGCCACCGACAGGCTGCGGATGCTGTGCCGCCGGCGCATCACCCAAGACCTGCGGGACGGCGCGGCTGATGTCAGGTGGCAACCGTTCCAGTTGGTGCGCCGCAGCTGGGCCCGCAGCATTCACTGGCTCCACATGGGTGCGACAGACGGCGTGGCAGGCGGCGCCAGCCTGGTGTGCGGCAGTCCGCTGGAGTCCTCCGCTCCCACCTGAGCGAATGCTGCTGGATCATGGCGGTGCGCCTGTCGAACGCCGCACCCATCATATCCTCCAGGTCCACCTCCAGCTCGGTGAAGCAACTGTTGGGATGGCATTGCGGTGTGTTTGGTGACGTGTAAACAGCGGGGGTGGGCGGTGGCTGGCAGAGGCTGCAGCGGCGGCGGCGAGGTGCGGGCCAGGCCGACGCCGCTGAGCGCATCAGGTCCGGCCTACCTGAGGCTGATGGCTTGGAACGCCCGGCAAGCCATGCTCAGCTTCACGCGATCGAGCTGAGAGGAGACCTTTGTCGCAATCGCCAAAAGCAGGTCGGGGGGCAGCGAGAGCAGGCCGGGCGCAAAGGTGCTGTGGGAGGGCCCGCTGCTGGTCATTCTGGGCGAGGTGTGTGAGCGCCTCGGACCAGACGCACCAAGCTTATGAGCAGAAGACGTGTGATACGCTCGGGCAATTCAGGGGGGGATGCGCCGACAGGCCAAAAGCCAATGCTCAATATGAGGCGGGCCCAGCTGGCGGGCGGGTGGCGCCACCGGGCAATGAATGCAACAAAGGTCTCCCCTGCGCACTCCAACTCTCCCCTGCCTTTCCATGCGGACCAGTGCATGTGTGAGGTAATGCATGTGTTTTCATTGCCCATTGAAAGGTGGCATGAGTGGGTGTGCCTCGCCTGAGGCTCCCAAGTTGCGCTTCTGCCACGCCTTACTGACAGCCGTACTGACGCAGACGTTATTCAAAGGGTGTGCAGTCAACAAGAATGGACAGGATGAATGAAATCACTTCTCCGCGCTCTCCAGATCCTCCGCGGGGTCCCTCGTGAGGTCCGCCCCCAGGAAGGTCTGCGTCTTGGGCAGGTCGGTGTCGGTGTGGTGCAGCGCCTGCGGCAGCGGTGACGGGAGGCAGCACACAAGTGGTGGCACCACAGAGTACAGGGGGTGCGGCGGCGAATGGAGGCCGCTGGCCTGGCCTCCAACTCAACGCGAGAAGAAGGGGGAAGAGGAATCGGCATCCCACCTGTATCTGGGCCTCCCCCTCCAGCAGCACCGCCTCCAGCAGGTGCCCTCCCTGCATCTTATCCTCTGCAGCAAGCCACGGCGAGGCGCATGCGTGCATGTGGCGCATGAGTGGGCAGGTGGACACAGCTGCGACAGGAAGCTGGCCAGCAAGCCCCAGCACCACATCCCTGCTTGGTTCAAAGCTCTCAGGCATTGCCACGGCTGCCAAACAAACAGGCTGGAGGGCTGCTGGCTCATTGTCGTGTGCCAGCGCCACAAGCGGCGCACCTGAAAGGAAGTGCAGGTGGAAGCCGGGGACGGTGAGGGCGGACCCCATGAAGGGCGGGCTCCAGAAGCCCACCAGCGTGCCGCTGCCCGCCCCTAGCTCAAACACCGCTTGGTCCTTGGCCACAGCCACCAGAGGCCTGCGGCAGGCAGGTGGCAGGTGCCGGGTGTGGCGGGCGGAAGGCAAGAGGAGGGACCCGCTGGTGCAGCCAGCAGGGATCAGCCAGCACCGTCTGCTGGCCCACCTGTCCACCTTTTGCTTCTTTACGGAGCGGGCGCGCAGGCTCTCAAACCGGCCGGTCAGCCGGATGGCGTAGAAGAGGTTGGGGGAGGGGAAGTGGCGCTCCAGCTCCGCCAGCAGCTGCGCACGATCCATGCGCGCCGACAGCGGCACTGTCACCGCGCGGCCTGGCTGCCACCGCGTGACGGTCATGAAGGGGGTCTGCAGGCGAGAAGGAAGGGAGGGAGGCGGTACGGTGGCGGCGTGCGGCAAGGCGTGGAGGTGGCACAGCCCGCACAGCCCGCTGCCGGCGCCACCACACACACAGCCCGCCCCGCCTCCTCCCTCACCTTCTCCGCGTCGTCTACCAGCCTGCATCTTCCCTGCCAGCCCTGCTGGTATGCCACCCCATCCAGTATCACCACCTCGCCATCCAGCTGCAGCAAGCATGGAGCAACAGACAGGTCGTGGTCGTGGCACAGTCCATGCACCCTGACGCGAGGGCACCAGCAGCCGAGCCCAGCTGCTCACGTGGTTGAGGGTGCCGATTCCAAAGTCGCCCTTGCACAGCACCTCGCCAATGGTTGTCTCACCCGTCAACAAGCCCTCAACGAGGCCGATGATCTGCCAGGGGCAGGGGGCGGCAGAAAGGCGTGGTCGAAGAGCGGCGGCGCCCAGAGGTGGCGCCGAGCCCGCATGCCGGTGGCACCCAACCCCAATTCATGCCGCTGTCACCCAATTCGACAGACATTCTCTCACATACAAATCAGCCGGGGGACTCACTGGGGAGGTCAGGTGCAGCTCTGACGACTGGTCTCGCGCCAGTCGATCGCAGCTAATACCGCTCAACCGTGACACCGAACGCCGCAGCTCCGCTACCACCTGCTCCTCAAAGGTTTGGCACTGTGCATGGGCCAGGGATTCCAGTTGCTCCACCAGGTCTGTGGGCAGTGCTAGGGTGACCTCTTTCCTGGCCATGCTGGTGTGCCTTTAGACCTGTGATTTGCCGCAGGTTGGCATAAGTGATGCCAGTTTGTCAATAATGCAGCTTTCAGCCCCCTCCCTGCTTGCCCGCTGCGCCAGCTGGAGTCCGCTGCGCCAGCTCGTCCACGAGGCGGCTACATGTGTACAACATAGGTGCGCCGCTTGTTTACCCAGAGCAGCAGAGTAAGCACGCAGCCTCAAGGAAAAAGTACTGCTTCCAGCAACCCACAGACATTGTAACAATGAGCAGCGGAAGGGGCGGGAATTGGCAGCGGGTTGAAAATGGCAGGTTGAATGAAAGTCAACGCTATAGTACAGGCAGGGCCGGGCACGACGCGGCGCCAGCATGCTTGGACGCACAAACACCATCGCCAGCAACATAAAATTGGGGGTGGAAAATGGCGGGCACGGCAGCCTTCAAGCAGCCCACTCAGAAGAAGAAGCGCAGCCGCCCATCCGCCTTCATGTTCTCGTAAATTTGGAGCATCTGATCGGGTGTCTCGACCCACACTGGCCCAACCGTGACCGAGATGTAGTTGCCCTTGGCCGACTGCGGCAGCGGGAAACGAACAAGTGCGGACATGGGCGAGATACACCCCCAAAGGCGAGCGATGCAGTGCCTGGCCCGCCAAATCGTGCTGGTCCCGACAGCCACCAATGAGCATGCTGGCACCCACACTCACCAGCCGTTGACTGATGCACTCCTCGTGCACCTTGCCCACCACCTGCTCGACACAGGCGGTCATCGCCACCACAAAGTCCTGGTTGCCGGTGCCGATGGCCTTGAAGGTGCGCTGGCCCGGGTACTCGTTCACCTGCAGTGCGGCACGGCCCATCAACCCAAAGAAAATGTGCTGCACACAGCCAGCCTAATGGGGCCAACATGTAGCACACCAACATGCCGGCGGCGGGCAGGATGCCGTTCCAGACCTGCAGGTCGAGCTCCCGCCACTTGTCCTCGTCGCTAGTGGTGTCCAGGATGACGTTGGTGCCCTGCGGCACGCGCCCCACGTTGGCCGACAAGCCTGCGGAAGGGCAAGGCGAAGATGGCCATGGTAAAGGGGAGGCAGGAACACCAAAAACAAGGCGCAGCGGCTGCACATGCCACGGTGGTAGCGGCAAGACGACAGCATGGCCCTCCCCCCGCCTGCCGGCGCCGCCCCACACCTGCTAGCGTGTTCTGCAGGGCGTCTGCTGGCGTGGCCTTCCGCTGCTGGGCAGGCCTGGAGGCGAACCCCTTGTACATTGTGTCCGATTGCTGCGCCTCCGACTCGCTGCTGCCTTCCGCGCTGCTGCACCGCGCCCCCGCTGCATGCAGCGCTCTGCCATGCCGCCGGGGCGCGGCAAAGGCAGCTATGCAGGGCGCAGCGCGCAGGTGGGAGGCCAGTGTAACGCAGCGCATGGCAAGGGGCTTCGCAAGAGAACGTCGGTAGGGCTTGCGATCGCTCGATTGGGCAAGCGGAGGCCGAAATCTTGCATTCCACCGAAGAAATCTTTCTTAAGGCGGAAAACGGCGCCCTCAAGTCCCCACAGCCGCCAGAGGTGCATCCCTGAGTACCGCCAGTGTCTGCAGGCACGCCGTGCCGGTCCTCCAGGCCCTCCAGTGCTGCATGCAAACCGAAGCCGCCGCCAGTTCCTCCTGACGCCGCTCTGCACGGCCGAATTTGCACGTCAACCGCCTCAGAGTCGTAAGAGGAGCGCGCCCAGCGGGCAGGCACCAGCGCCGCCACCCACACCCCGCCACCGGCGGCGGCGACCAGCCCCTGGCGGCCAGAGCAGCGCAGCGAGGCAGGCACCATGCCGCAGGGCGAGCACATTGAGCTGCACCGCAAGCGCTATGGGCGGCAGCTGGACCATGAGGAGCGCACGCGCAAGAAGGAGGCGCGCAGTGTGAAGAAGCGGTCGGCCATGGCGCAGCGGACGCTGGGCATCAAGGGCAAGATGCTTGCCAAGGAGCGGGCCAAGGAGAAGGCGACGATGCGCAAGACGATTGCGATGCACGAGGAGCGCGACAAGCAGCACAAGGCGGACGACGGCGCCAAGGGCTCTGCGGTGCCCGCCTACCTGCTGGAGCGTGAGCAGGTGCGCAGGCTGCGGGGTGGGGTGGGCGCGTGTGGGCGTGTGCGTGTGCAGGACGGGTGGCGTGGTGCGCTCGGTTGGTGGGACGCAGCAGGCCGGCGAGCTGCTGCCGCCGCCTGTGGCACCTCGGTGGGACCGGCAAGACACGGTTGCCCGCTGAGACGGCTCCTGCCTGACACCTCACCCTCCCGCCGCCGCAGGTTGAGCGCGCCAAGGTGCTGAGCAACACCATCAAGCAGAAGCGCAAGGAGAAGGCGGGCAAGTGGGAGGTGCCGCTGCCCAAGGTGCGCCCGGTGGCGGAGGAGGAGATGTTCAAGGTGATGCGCTCGGGCAAGCGCAAGAAGAAGGAGTGGAAGCGCATGGTCACAAAGGTGCGGGTTTAGGGGCGGGGGACCGGCGATAGGTGGAGCGGGCAGCCAGGGGCGGGAGGGCTGGCCAGCGGGCTTGCCTGGCGCATAGCGGGGCTTGGCACCAGAACCGCATGGACTCATCGGCAGGCTTACTCGGCGGCAGCAGGGCCTGTAGCTGTGGCCCCATTCCGCGGCAGCCGCCGAGAGGTTTGGCGTCGCCGCTGAGCGCTCGCCCCCTTGCCACCTTCCCGCCACGCCCGCAGGTGACGTTTGTGCCGCCCGGCTTCACCCGCAAGCCCCCCAAGTACGAGCGCTTCATCCGCCCCACGGGCCTGCGCATGACCAAGGCGCACGTCACCCACCCGGAGCTCAAGGCCACTTTCCAGCTGGAGATCATTGGGGTGAAGAAGAACCCCAACGGCCAGGCGTACACGGGGCTGGGGGTGATCACCAAGGGTGAGCGCGGGAGGGAGGAGGCCGTGGGAGGAGCAGGCAGGCAGGGGGGACAGAGGTGTGGGGAGAGGCGAGAGGCTGCAGCGGCCTGGTGGCAGGCTGTTGGGCGGTGGTGGGCCGTGCCTCAGAAGCTGGGTTGGGCGCCTCGCGAGCTGCTGTGCCGCACTTGTCGGGATGCCCCTCCCTTCCCTGGCCCACCTCGCTGTTGCCCTTCCCCTGCTGCAGGCACCATCATCGAGGTGAACGTCAGCGAGCTGGGCCTGGTGACGCCCGGCGGCAAGGTGGTATGGGGGAAGTACGCGCAAGGTGAGAGGCTGCCGCTGCGGTCGCACGCTGGAGGGCGAGCAGCTGTGTCAGCTGCTGCCGGCGCCGGTTTGTCACAGCCGGCGGGCTGGCTGACAGCGGCACTGCTGCCCCTGCCCCGCCCCTGCTGCAGTGACCAACAACCCCGAGAACGATGGCTGCATCAATGCTGTGCTGCTGGTGTGATGGGCGAGCGCTGTGCCCGACAGCCAGCCGGCATGCTGCCGCAGCCTCCTCTCCCTCCAATCAGCCGGCTTGCCAGCCCAGCCGGCGCCGGCGCCCTTGTAGCATACTCACGCTGAGACGCACTTTGTAGCATTGCTTTTCTTTCGCTCGCCACCTGGCAGCACATCGCTGCCGCGCACCCGACCCGCTTCAGCCTAGGCCTAGGACTCTCTGCCCCTCTGCTCCTAATTCCCGCTGCCCCCTTTCCTCGCTCACCTCACCCACACATCAGTCTTCCCCATACATCAGCCCCTATGCTGCCAGCACAAGCAAGTGCTCATGCCGGTTGCAAACCCTGGTAACCGTGCGCGCGCCGAGGGTCACAGCGGCGGCAGGCTGTCTTGGCAGTCATCCCCCTCGCCCTCCACCGCGCTCAGCACCGCCGCAGGCAGCTCCGCCTCGGCAGCTGCTGCCTTGCCATTGCCGCCGCCTCTGCCACGCCCCGGCCGGTTGCACGCCCCGGCCGCATTCTCGACGCCAGCCTCTGCCGCCGGGCCGGCGGCCGCCGCCGCGGGGCGCAGGCACCCCTGTGCGTCCGCCAGCGGCATGGTGATCAGCAGGTTGCCGGTGGTCTTGGAGCGGCGCGCCACGGCGGCGTCGGGCCGCACCTCTGCGGGCAGCTCCAGCTGCAGCAGGCGGCCCTTGGCCAGCAGCTGCACATACCCAGGCTGCACGTCTGCCTGGATGGCAGAGGTGTCCAGGTAGCGGCCCAGCGCCACATCCAGATCCAGGCAGGACCCGCCGGACCCCTCCTCCAGACGGTACTCCCACTTGCCTGCGGCGCAGGGGAGGAAGGGCGGGGCCGCCGTGTGAGGCGCCGCGCTGGTGGCGGGCTGGCCGGCAGGCTGGCGGCTGGTGCATGGTGGACCGGGGAGGCAAGGTTGTGCAAGGCCCGGTTGGCTGCGGGGTGCTACCCGCCGCCCCCCGCACACAGGGCCGCTCGCCTGCTGCCTCACCCTCGTTCTTCTGGTACACCGGCTGCCCCTCCACAATCTCGGGCAGCCGCTCCCGCAGCGGCGGCTCCGCCTGCGGCTCCCCAAACAGCCCCGCCGACCTCGCCCTGTCCGCCTGCCGCGCCTCCTCCGCCGCCCGCGCCTGCGCCTCCGCCTCCCGCTGCTCCAGCACGCGGGTGGCGGGGCACCAGGGGCGCCGCAGCTGCCCATCCTGCCCCACCACCCCCGTCTCGGGGATGTGCTGCGCATCCAGCAGGCTGTCGTCCTCCACCTGGTGACAGGCAGGCGGGCAGGAAGGCCAGCGGCTGGTAGGTTGCACCGGGGCTGAGACCACCACCAGGCAGCAGGCTGGCCAACCACCCCATGTCTCAGAAACACATGGGGCAGAAACGCATGTCTTTTTTGGCCAGCCAGCACATGTGCCGGAACCGCATGCCGTGTGAGGCAGTGCTGGGACTGAACGCTGCGCCAGCGCCCACCTGCGCCGCCTGTTCTGGGTCCACTCCCTCTGCCAGCAGCTCGGCGCGCAGGCGAGCCTCCAGCGCCGGCAGCTGCTGCGCCGCGGCGATGCGCTCCGAGGGCAGCACCTGCGCGGGGGGGCGGGGAGGCACACCACCCCTCCACAGCCTCAGCCAGGCAGGTGGGGAGGCACCCACTTGCACTGCGGCGGGCCAGCCCACAGTCCCACCGCGCCCACCTGCTCTCCATCCAGGCTCTGCAGCCTGGGCAGCGTGCCCACCACATATGCGCGGTACCCCGGCCACTTGGTGCACGGGTTGCCCAGCAGGCTCAGCTCCTGCAGCCGCTCATTCTCCCGCAGACTGCAGGCAGGCAGGCAGCGGCTCCCTGTCGGTGCAGGTCGCCCAGGCGGGCGGGTGACACCGCCAGCGCCAAGCAGCTGTGTGGCCTTGTGCCTGCAGGGCGACACTCAGAAGGCACAAATCAGCTCCATCCATCAGCTGCTGTCGCCGCCCAATGCTGCCGCCGGTGCACCTGCTCAGGCTGAGCAGGCCCGCCTTGTCCACAAAGTTGGCGGTGAGGTCCAGGCGCTGCAGCGACTCGCAGCGCTGCAGGTTCTGCACCCGGCGGATGTTGTTCAGCGCCAGGTTCAGCTGCTCCAGCTCCTGCAGCATGGAGTCGGCGGCATGCAGCACAGGGCGCAGTCGTGAGGCGCCGGCGCCCCGGGCCTGTGCACGCTCCCGGCGCATTTCCGCCACAGCGCGCACCTTGAGCCTGTGCAGCTGCTCTATCTTGGGGATGATGTTGTTTTGGAGATACAGGATGCGCAGGTGCCGACAGCACTGGTTGAGCAGCTCTATCCGCTCGATGCCCTGGGCGTGCAGGGCAATCTCCTCCAGCGTGCGCAGGATGCCGTCATTGTGCTCCGCCCGCTTGACCAGCAGGGCCTGGGTGATGCGAGTCATGTGGGGGTTTGACTGAGTGGCGGCACGCAGCGGGGGTGCCCAGGCGACCCAGCGGCACATGCAAGACGCCACACAGGCGTTGAATTGAAGGGGAACGGGCCCGGCCTCCCTCCGCCACCTGGCGGGGCCACATTTAGGGCACACGTCGGAGGCCGCATTCTGTACATGCCTTCCGCCTGCCTACGTTCATATCAGTGCCACAGCGTTGCTTGTGCAGCTGCCAAGCTTGGGTCTGGGCCGTTGCCAGGATGGCGGCGTTGTCTGCGGCAGCCCTGGGGCTGTCTGGCCTCGCCAGCCCGCTCATGTTTCGAAAAGAAGGCTGCAGAGTGCGGCGGGGGCGGCCCATGGCCACCCTGAGCTACCGAGCCGACCACCAGGAGCGCGGCTCTCGGGGACAGCAGTGGGCCAAGCCCCAGGTCGTGCCACCCCACCCCAACGGCTCGGGGGAGCACCTGATAGAGGAGCCCACCCCCGGCGAGGAGGCGCTGCAGCGGTGAGCGCGGCCGCCCGTCGGCTGTCGCTCGGCCGCCCGCTGCCAGTCGTCGCTGCTCCTGCCACGGCCCCCAGCTCCCCTCCTCTCATCCCCTGCCCCTGCACCCCGGCCTGCCGCTTCCTGCAGAGCCGTGCAGCAGCTGCAGGCGGACAACGCGGAGCTGCAGGCGGAGGTCCACCACCTGGCAGCCACGCTGCGCGCCGCGCTGGCCTCCACCCCCGACTCGGGCCAGTCTGGCACGCTTGACGCAGACGAGCTGCAGCAGCAGCAGGCCGCGGCGCAGCGCTTCCTGGAGCAGCAGTGCCAGGGCGCCGACCACCTGATGCTCGACCTGGAGCAGCACGACCACTCCCACCTGTGCCTGCACCCAGACGGCGCCGCCTGGCAGAGCGGCGCCTACGACGGCGCCTCCAGCGCCAGCCTGCTGTCCTCCCTGGACGGCGGCCCCGCGGCGGCCCCGGTCTACCACCAGCCCCCCAGCGTGTCCCAGGCCACGCTCAGCTGCTCCATGCAGCACCCGGGCTCCATCTGCTGCAGCAAGCTGAGCAGCACGCTGGACCCCGGCGGCGCCGCGTGCACCATCAGCCTGCACACCACCGCCAGGTGCGCCGCACGCACGCGCCCACCCGCTCGCCGGCCGCCTCTGCTGCTCCTGCCGTCGCAGGCTTCCCATTGCTCCTCTCAGCGGCTTACCTGCCGTCACTGATCTGCTGCCACCTCCCAGCCGCCTGCCCTGCCCTGCCCTGCCCCTCCCGCCACACGCACGCTCGCCGCAGGTGCACCGCCGACGGCACCACGGTGCGCCGCCACCTGGCGCCAGAGGAGCTGCGTGCGTTGGCGGCGCATGCGCTGGTGGGAGCCGCACACTCCTTCTCCCAGGCCTCCACAGCAGACTACCGCGCCAAGCTGGGGCTGCTGCAGGTGCGGGGTCGCGGGGCGTCGCGCCCCGCCTGGGGACTTGCTGCAGCGCTGGCAGCCCTGCCGCGCCCCTACCAAGCTAGCCATCTGCTGGAGGGCCATGTTCGCATGCTTGCCCCGCCCGTGAGCTTGCCTGCGGCACCCCATACCCTGCCCCGCCTGCCTGCTGGGTGCAGGTGGTGGCTGCCCGGCACGCCGACCTGGTCCGCGTGCTGGAGCAGGGCGTGGTGATCTGCGCTGAGCACACGCAGCCCTCGCAGTTTGACCACAAGAGCTACCTGCTCACGGTGAGGCAGCAGCCCGGGGGCGAGGCACGGCCGGCTGGCTGCGGGGCGCTCTGATGCGGCGGCAGGGGGCGGGGCGCGGCCCTGCCGTGCATGGCACGACGATGCCACGCAGTAGCCGGCCCTGCGCCGCGCCTCGGCCTTCTCTGCAACGCCGCGCGGCCCCGCCCGCCCCGCCCGCCCCGCAGCTGCAAGACCCGCACACCGCGCAGCGCGTGCACGCCATCTACAAGCCGCGCGTGTATGGCGACGCGGGCGGCTGGCACCGCACGCCCATGGAGTGGGTGGCCTACCGCCTCAACCTGCTGCTGGGCCTGGACCTGGTGCCGCCGGTGGCCTACAGGTGGGCGGGTGGGCCCCGGGTGGGGGCACCGGGTGGGGGCACCGGGTGGGGCTGGGTGGGGCCCGGGTGGGGAACACCGGGTGCGCTGCTGGCTGGCAGCAGCATGCCCCGGTGCCGAGGCAGCGGAGAGGGCCATGCAGGCTGCGCCCGGCGAGCGGCTGGGCGGGGCACAGGCAGCCGGCAGCCGTGCTGGGGTGGCGAGGGTGCCGACGTGTGTTGGCTTGGCTCTCGGCGCCTGCCCCGCAGGACCGCGCCGCTGACGCTCAACCTGGGGGGCGAGGAGGAGGAGCTGGTGTTCCAGGAGGGGGCCATGATGCTGTGGGTGGAGGTGGGTGCGGGGCCTAGGCTGGCGCCGCCAGCGGCGGCATGCCCGACCCGCTCCCTGGCGTGGCAGCGGGCCGCCTCCCCCTCCTCGCCCCTCCCTCCCGGACGCCCCAGCCGCCGCGCCGATCGCTGCACGTGCCCCCACACACATATACCCCCCCCCACACACACACACACCACACACGCTTCCTGCCCTTCCCGCTGCAGCACTGCAAGGAGCTGCGGGAGTACCCGCAGCGCGAGTGGGGCGTGGACCCCGCGGTGCTGCTGTCCGACACGCGCGTGCTGGACGTGCTGCTGCACAACTCGGACCGCCACCACGGACACTTCCTGCTGGGGCCGCACTGGGCGCAGGGGCGGGAGCGGGGCGGGCACTGGGAGGGCGTGCCGCGGCCGCTGCTCATCGACCATGCCGCTTCCTTCAGGTGGGCCTGGGCCTGGCCTGGGCCTGGCTGGCCAAAGCCGTGGGAGGGCTCGACCGGGGTCCTGTAGTCGGCTTGTGAGAGCCAGGCTGCGCGCGCTGCGCAGCCCGCCAGCGGCGGCCGAGCGCCGGGCAGCCGCCGGGCGTCGGCGGGGCCCAGCGGGAGCCGAGCGCCGCTGCTGCCGCGTGCCTGCGCGGCTGCAGGAAGGAGGCTGTGGTGAGCATGGAGCACGAGAACGCCTTCTCCACCGGCGCCGTGCGCTGCGTCTCCGCCTCCACCTACCTCCGCCTCCGCTTCCTCGACTCCCACACTGTCTCCGAGGAGGTGAGGGCAGGGGGGCGCCGCCGCCCTGCAGCTGAGCTGCCTGCACAAGTGCAAGGCAAAACAAGCCGGCCCTGCGCCTCCTTTGGGCTGCTCGCTCTGCTCTGCGCCTCGAGCCTGCTAGTCTCCCCACTCGTCCCGCGCCCCCACCCGCCTGCCCCACCCCGCGCCCGCCCGCGCCCGCCCCGCAGCTGGGCCACCACCTGTCGCGCGCCGAGCAGCGCGCCCTGCTGCACCGCCGCGACTACGTGCTGCACTACTTTGACGACCTGGTGGCCAGCCAGGGCTACGCCGCCACGGTGCGAGAGTGAGGGGCGGATGGCGGCGCCGGCCAGGCGCCCAGGCATGACCCCCTGATTGGCGTTGTTATGGCGCGCGAGCGACGGGTGGCGGCGGCCCCGGAGCCCCGCAAGAAGCGTGCGTGGCGCTGCCCAGGCGGCGCCCGCTCGGTTGCACGCCGGCGGCCCCAGCGCCGCGGAACGGCGATTTCGTCAGCATCAACGTATGTGATTCCTGCTCCAACACCCCCCTCCGTTTTTGTTTTTTTCCCGTCCCATGCTCTCTGCACCCCATTTTCCGGCAGGTTTGCTGCCGTGCTAGCGTGCTGCTTTTGTGTGCTTTTCCGCAGCTGCCATCATGCCATGGCTACCCAAACACATGATGCTTACCTACCAAACGCCCTCCCACCCGCACCGCACTTGCTCACTGCCTCCCTTGTCGCATGCCGCTCCCTTTCTGACTGACTTTGAACTGTATTCGTTGCGCCTCCAGTTGCTGTAGCGAGGCCCGCATGGCGGCGCTCGAGCCCGCCTGATCTTGAGCGGTGCTGGCCAGCACCCTCAGTGGCCTGGCGCATACTCATGTAGCGTAGGACCTGAAGCACTGGCATGATGTTGCTTGGCTGCGGCCCGGCTGTCACACTATGATGTAAACATTACTAATTTGAGAGCATGGCGGCCCCGCAGAACACAGGCGAAGACAGAGGGCCCGGGCAGTCGGCACTGGATCTGTGCGCGGATTGCGGGCCCGCCCTGCTGTCATGATGGCAGCACAAGCGTGAGGGTGACCCTCGTCACGCAAGGCTGGGCTCTGAGCCGAGGAACCACGGAGAGGCTGGGCTGCCTGGCAGCGCTGGAAGCGTGTAGCTGATGGGGCATGGCTGCTTGCTGTTGGCGAGCGGCATCATTGGGCTCCTGCCGCTCACCCTGCCAGGCCTGCCGCAGAGGCTGTGAGGCGGGGAGCCGTCCTGAAAGCAGCGCGGAACCAGGATCTGCCGCCTGCTGCTCAGCGCCCCCAGCAGCGACGCGCCTGGGCTGTGCCTGCCAGGCCCGTGCCTGCTAGGATGGCAGCCGCGGCGGCTGGCCCTTGGTGGGCATGGGCCATCGCCATCTGCCCCGCCACCACCGCGGCGCACAGGGCCGCACCAGACACGCCCCGCCTGGCTGCCTGGGCCAGCGAAGGCTCCGCATCGGCTGGCAGCAGCGCCTCCAGCATCGGAAGCGTCATGGACAGAGCACCTGCGCTGGCGCCACCACTGCCGCCACCAGGCGGACCAGTCACGCAAGCAGCAACGGCTGCAAGCACCAGCAACAGTCCGTCGACGCCCGGCAGCAGGTGACCCAGGCCTAGGCCCGACTGGCTGCCACTCCCCTGCAGAGGCAGCCACACAGGGAGGGGAGGGTGGCGGGTTTGAACAGCCAGGGCAAGGAAGAGGGGCTGCTGTGGCAGACACATGTGACAGCCGCAGCGCAGCTCCTGCTGCATACATACAGGCTGAGGCGGACCTGTGCCTGCTCGGATGCGTGCCGGCCCTGCTGCCGCCAGGCTTGACCCGCCGCCAGCACCAGCTCTGGCATGAGGCGCAGGGCAGTCGGGGTAAAGGGCGGGCTTTCGTGTGTCGATGCTGGTTCAGGCAGCGCATCCCGGTTTGGCTGGCCTCTGCCGTGGGTGTGTCAGGTGGCCCCACAGAGCAAAGGGCCTTGGGACATTGGGAAACCCAGCAGGCAAGCCTCTGCCTCGCCTGGAATGCGGTCCAGCACTCTTGGACAAACAGCGGGAAGCCGCCGCCACCAGTCGCGCCTGGCGGTGCCGGCCTAGAGGCAGCGGCCAGAGGCGAGGCTGGGCCTACCAGGACCTCGGTCTGCTCACTGGCGCCTTGGGGCTGCTCCTTGCTGAGCAGCTCAGCTGCCGACACCATCAAGGCCAATGGCGCGAGCGCTGCCCCCTGCTTGGGAGCCATGGCACTTGGACGTGCGGCGTCTGGTGCTGTGCGTCCCTGGCGGCAGGAGCTGCCTGGGGCCCTGAGCCTGGCATCTCTGGGCGCCCCCTGACTCGCTCAGGCACAGCTTGGTGCCAGCACTTCGAGAGCAGGGACAGAGCCTTGGATATGACTAGGTTAGCAGCTGCCGGGTGCACTACCCTCCAGCGGAGCCAAGAAGGCATGCAGGTCCAGCGTGGTTCAACCAGCCTCTTCCTGAGGTGAACCACCAGGCTGGCATTGCGGTGGCAGCGGCGGCGGCGGCGGCGAATGGGGCGTCCAAAGAGCTCAGGCCGCATGCCCGGCAGCCGCCCGACCCCTCAGCCGCAGGGCGACTCTGCATCACTCGCTTGCGCTGCTTCTGTGATTTACATGGCACCGTGCCATCTCACACGGTGACCCGTCTCCGGCCGCCAAGTGCCCACTTGCAGCTGAGCGGCCAGAGAGAGACCTGCTGGCACCACTGCTCAAACGGCACCTTGGGGCCTCCAAAAGGAGAAGTGCAGCAGGGAAAGAAGTCAGGGTAGAGGACGGGGCTTGATCATTTGCGGGGCGAGCGCCTGCAGTTCTTCAGGTGATTAGAATAATGAAGAGGACAGGTTCGATATAAAGGTAAAGGTGGGGAAGAGCCTCCACAAGCTTCACTTCCCGGTTTTAACGTCTAGCTTTAGACCATTATTTGATCTGCCCGACGCGCCAAGTGCAGTACCCCCCACTAGTAGTGAATGGGTCCCGGGGAGGCCTGTGCCGAAGCCTTGGCGATTCTATTAGGCGTTCCCGAAGGAATTGGCTTGGATATAAAAATGCACGGGTACACGATAGTAGCGGAAACATGGAGAGGATGTGAACAAGGGTGCACGGCATCAAGAGGTGGGGCAAGGGGGGGCAAGGGGGGGCTGTCGTCTGGTTTGCCCAGCGGGTCAGCGGGCATTGTAACGGCCTGCAGAGGGCACCATTGAGGTGCTGGTTCAGGCCTGAGGACGTTGAATACCAATCAAAAAGCAAGGATGGGGAGAGAAGCGAAAAGCTGTCGAAAGTGACCGGGTACTTGAGCTTTGGCGATGACCGCAGGGGGCACAAATTCGTGCTGGTCAGGGGTCTGGGGGAACACTAAGTGCCAAGAGAAAAACCATAGAAAGGAGGCGATGAGCAATCGAAAGGAGAAATGCAGCCATGCTGTCTTATGGTGGGCTGACTTTTCGGTGGAGCATTGCGCAATGCGGCACACATGCTCACAAGCAAAACAGTGCAACTACTTGTACAGTGAAGTTAATTGGAAACTGCTCCTGCGTCAGGGCAGAGGCGGGTAGCAAGGTACGGAGCAGGTTTGGTACAATGCGGAAGAGATGGGACGAGGTTGGTGTGTGTGTGTGGTAGGGGAGGAGGGCAGGCCAGCATGCAGCTGACAGATTAAACAGCCGTTGCTTTATTTATTCGATTATTGACTGTGGCCCCACACAGATCAGGGGCCAAACTTGTATTCCCATGGTCGAGAGCAGCACTACGCGCCGTGCGGTTTAGAACGCATGGGCAGCGCCGTACTGGGGCCTGGTGCAGCTGCCGCGCTCCTCCAGCTGCTCGGCCCCGCCGCCAAACCATTGCTGCTGTGGCGCGGGGTGGGCGGGCTGCAGGCCGGCAAAGAGGTCCCCCTCGGGCTGCCCCAGCTGGCCCCCCAGCTCAGGCTCTGCCAGCCGAAACTCGCCGGCCATGCCGCTCCCCAGGCCGCCCAGCGGCGCATCCGCCTCGGCCACGCCCTCCGCCTCCATGCCCATCCCCGTGGCTGTGTCCAGCAGGTCCTGTGTGCTGAAGGAGAGGGCGTCCAGGCTGGGGCAGAGCTGCAGAGGGCAGCGAGCACCAGCAGCAGCGATGACAGCGGGTGATGCGGGATGCGGCCTTGGGGCTTCTGCCAGCACCGGGAGCAGTGAGCAGGCCCCCCTCCCCACCCCTCAGCCACCCTCAGCCCACCTACCTGCAGGGACAGCGGTTGTGGTTGCAATGAGCTGCATGGTGCGTCCACGGAACTGGGCGCTGGCAAGCTTGCGCCGCCGCATGCTCCGTGGTAAGCATGCGGCGCCGCCGCTGCCTGCGCGGCGGCGCCTGGCCACACCTCCCGCCAGGCCTCTTGCACCTGCGCCTCCTGCGGCGTCTGCGTGCGCAGGCGCAGCGCCTGCTGCAGCTGCTGCTGCAGCTGCTGCTCGTGGCCGTCTTGCTGCGCATGCAGGCGCTGCTCCCATGCCTGCTGCTCCTGGCGCTGGCGCTGCTCCCAAGCCTGCTGGTCACGCAGGCGCCGCTGCTCCCACGCCTGCTGCTCCAGGCGCCTCTTGCTCTCCCACTCCTGCCACTCCTGCCACTCCTGCCGCTCCTCCCTGCGCGCCGCCTCGTCTGGCCGCGCCGCCGGCCGCTGCGCCAGCTCGCGCTGCTGCTGCTGGCGCTCCAGGTCGGCTATCCCATCCTGCAGGTCTGAAATCGCGCGGCCCAGCCGCACGCCCCCCCCGCTTCCACTCCCACTGTGCTGCTGCGACCGTGGGGGCGGCGGGAGCGGCAGGGAGGCCGCGGTGGGCCTGTGCCTCTGGTGCGGGGCCGGCGCTTTCTGCAGCCGCCCGCCGCTCTTGCCGCTGATGGGCCGGTGTGGCAGGAGCGGCGGCGGCATGGAGGTGGCAGCGAGCCGCCGCCGCTGGTGCGGCGCCTTTCCGAGTGTCTGCGCCTGCGTCTGGAGCCCCCGCTTGTGGTGCTCCGAGGAGGCAGGCCTGCCGCCGCCGCCCGCCGGGTGGCTTCCCTGTCGCAGCAGTGCCTGCACGGCAGCGCACCACTCCTGCTGCTCCCGGCGCTGCTGGTGCAGCTGCACCTGCTGCCGCTCCAGCTTCAGCAGCAGCAGGCGCCGCTCTCCTTCCGGCGCCACCACCACTGCAGAGGGCAGCGTGGCGTGGTGCGGGGGTGGCCGGGGGTGGTGCCCCAGCCGCGGCTGCAGGCGCTCCTCTAGCGGGGCGGAAAAGGAGCAGTGGGGGGGCGGGTGAGCCTGCTCCGGGTGCTGCCCCCACGGGTGCTGCTGCCCTGCTGGCAGCTCCTGGTGGAGCGGCGGCGTGTGCTGGCCCTGCGGGCTGCCGCCTGTGACCGTCACCTGCCCCTCCACACGCTGCAGCGACAGGCAGCCGGGGTTTGGCGCACTGTCAAAGCAAGGACGAGCGAGGTGGGCAAAGGCAGGCTCCTGGGAGCGGCACAGGGGCACCGACGCGGCAGCTGGCGGCGGGCACGAGCGCAAGCTGCGGGCTTACGCTTGCCTGCAGGCGGGGCGGAGGATGCTGCAGCTCGCTCCACTCCAACACATCCATACGGGATTCAAGCATGCAAATGTTAAAGCTGGGGTTGGCATGCACTGCAGCAGGGCCGGGAAGAGGGAGGGCACTGCTAGGGGTTGGCAGAGCCATGCTCAGACGAGCGCCGCTATGTGGCCGCTGGGTACTGAGCGCCCAGCTGCCGGCTGCCCCTGGCTCGCTGCAACTGGCCTCCAAGGGGGTTTCCTCGCAAGATGGCAGCCACGGAGCTGTGAGCGGTGGGCGTCTTCCACCCATCCGTCCATTCCGCACATGCCACGTGCCCGCAGCCACCAGGAGCTGCCAGAGGCGAGACGGGGGCTCACCTCTCGACTATGATTGGTCAGAAGGGTTCAAAGGAAGGCCTGCAGCACCGAAAGTTTGGGATACTGGTTTGCAGAACGACTTGCGGACAGCCATTGTGGCGGCCTCTGACCCTACCCCGACGCCCCCTAGCACTGCAAACCCCACCTCGACAAGATCTTTACCCCTGCAGAGCCCCTCAGGGCCTGGCGCGACGTGCTGCGCTTCCGGCTCTCCTCGCTGAAGCTACGCCCTCGAAAGCGACTCCCTCCTTCGTGTGCGGGGGTTACAATGCAAGTGGTGTTCACGATTATAGCCAGGGGGGCTGGCGTACCTTTGCCCGCAATTGAGAGATACGGCATCTGGGGTTTGGAAAGGCGCCGAATGGCGACAGTTTCGCGCGTGCGTGAACTTGCGCCTTGTGTCTGTATCGCAAGATGGCGCCCCTGAAGTTTGGCGTGAACTGGCGGGTGGAGCTGCTGCCAATGGGCGCCAGGCCGTTTGCAGTTGCGCCAGGCTTGCGCCATTTTGCGGCTCAGCCAGTTTGCGCCATTCGACGAGAGCTGCCGGACGCCAATTGACGCATGCATTGCAGCTGCGCCAACTCACGTCCCATGGCGGCTGGGATGCCGCCATGCTTGGCTGAACCTCCACCATGGGCACCCCGCCACTCCTTTCTCGCCCCATCTCTTGCAACTTTGTTACAAAAACTCGCAGCTGGCTCGTACTGCGAGCGGCCATGGCCTGGGTGGGGCAGCCATGCAGGAGGTGCAAGCCCTCTCGATCTCGCCGCCGTTGCAGTAGTACGCATCCATTCATTCATTCAGCACACAGACCGGCCGCCTCTTGCTCGAGGGCGGCCCACTTTGGCCTGGGCAGCCCGGGCCGCCCTCCCCCCCGGGCGCATGTTCGGTGTTGGAGGGGTGTGCCCAGCGATAGGGGGCCCCTGAAGGCATGCGCCGAGGCCGGGAAGCGTGGTTCGGCGCTGCTGCACGCTTGGCGATTTGAACAGAACCACGTGCCGCCGAGCTGCGGCCGCAGTTTCCGGCCCACGGTCTACGGTCGCAGCCACGGGACTCGGCGGCACGGCGTTTGGGCCCAAGCTTGCTGCCGCCGCCGCCGTGCCCGGGGGGCAGCGCGGCGGCAGCGGGGGCACGCTGCGACGCCCCCGTGCT